TAATTAAATAAATAAACGAGATGTCTCTGTGTTCTTAACCTTCGGAAACCCAATAACTGGAATTTCTCTTCCTTAGAACCAGTGTTACATCTTGTATCCTGTTTTACAGCCCCAGTTTTCAATATATGAAAAGAGTTCCGTAGATGGCTGGCCGACCAACAACACACAAAGAGGGGATATTTTGAACGGAGTAGACAAAAATGTTGGGTTCAGTATTTTGGAAGGGTCAAAAGAAAGAAAGAAACAGTTTTGGAAAATGAGTTTTTTTAAAACCAACAACCCCAAACCCTAACCCTAACAACAACCCTAACTCTTGTATAGTTTGCTCAGTGGACCTGGTCATTGCAAGTGCCAGCCCTCCTCGGAACTCCTCCTCTTTTAAAAATATTTCCATCAGACTTCAATTTGGCTAAGACATTATTTTTCATTTTTCAACTGAAAGAGCTGCAGAGTTGCTACCAAAGAAAACTCTATCTCCCCTGGACTCTTAACTTAATGGCAACAGAAGGTGAAAAAAAAAGTAAAAGTACTAATCTAGATCTAATATTTATTATTCTTGCAACACGAGCTCTGCACAACTGGAGACTACCATAATATAGTCACTGTACTCTAAACCTCAGAAATATGATACGCTTCAGAAATACCACAACTCCACAATGCATAAATCCAGAGAAACACACTTTGTCCAAACTTATCAAGACACACTATAATACATCCCTTTCTTGAATAGATTTGAACCGTGCCATGTAGAGGTTTTTAACACAGAATGATATTATGATCCTTTCACAACTGTGATTTGGACACTGAGCACGTTTGTCTTGTAAAAAATATGGCCTTCGAACTTCCTGCCAAAACTCGATTCTGAATTATAACAATTGATAGTACGTACTTGAATCTTAAATTGTGCCTATTTTCTCACCACATGCTGTATTATGTAATTTAAGCTCAAACAGGTTGTATATTTAGCGAAATTGCGTGGCAGGGATGTCCCCCACGAAAACGAATGGGGGCAGTGTGTGCCCACCTTGGGACGTTGAATATTTCGTGTATACACATACGCAATTCAACAGACGGGTGAGTACTTTTCGAGACTCACGTGGGGGCGTCTCGGTCGTCTCGGGAGGAAATCTACACGCTTGCACTGAGTGAACTATGGGGGCAGGGTGGTGTTTCGCAAGGGTTTGTCCGTACCAAAAAGCAGTAGCTGCGCGCAGTAGCAGAGCCGAGCCACTAGGAGAAGTTCAAGCAGTAGGCTCGAGTGTTGGCACCAAACGCTGGATTGGCAAGCTGTCCAGTAACAGTCAGCTGGCTGGGTGCTCGTGCACTGCTCAGTATCAGCTGGCATGTTCTCACCAAAAGAAATATAAAAGCAGTGTGTACTAGCACTCTCTGCTAGCTCGCGGCTTGTATCGGAGACAGTTAATATAATGACGGTCTGTAAAGTATGCGTGATGCATTTGATGGACACTTCGTCACTATTGACACCGTCTCTTGTATTTGATGGCGAGAAAGAATACTGGGTTCATCCCATTAATGCCAGAAGAGACACATGGAAGTTAATCTTTTCTGCAATTTCTTCATGGATATTCCTGAATTCAACTTATGAACTCAAAAGTTTTGGCCCCATCCATTGTTTTTGTTTCTGTTTTGTTGTACAGGCTTTCAAGAGGAGAATGTAGAAGCTGTCTCCAGCTGTCTTGAGCTGATCGAGATATCTCAGCGAGGTTTGGCGGGACATTTCGGGTGTGCTAATTTTAAAAATGACGAAATCACTTCTAGCAATGAGCGGTAGTAAATGTGGGGATATATTATTTTACTGCTCACTGTTTGCAGTGCACTGCTCAATACGGCGCGGCTACTGCTTTTGGTGCAAACGTCGTATAAATAATACTAGCTGGGGCCCCTTCCGATGAATGGAATGATCGGTGCGTCAACATCAATTGAAAGCCATTGGTCTACTATATTTACAATCTACTGGAATGGAGCAAGCAATCTTGAGAGAAAAGAAAACATGAGGCTAGATCTATACGGGTTGCACACTTAAAATAGTGCCCAGTATTGCACGACAATGCGCGATAGTATCGAACGGAAGTACGACTTGAAATAAACAAACCTGGCGGATTTTCTAAAATTACAGAGACAGGAGCGTCGGCCTACAAAGCGATCGGGCGAAATAAAGAAATTTAGCTTTTTGCAGCAAAACTGTCTCAAAACTGAAAAAACGAAGGGTGTCATGATCTGGGGGATAT